ATGGAGACAGAATAGTCTCTCCTGAGGGGGTGGAACACACCTCCCATCACTCCCCGCCCATGGATCCTTTCCTGCCACAGGCTTCGGCAGTGGAGCTCTTGCCTTGGGCCAGGGCAGCCAGGTGACTCCTTCACCCCTTCAAGAGTCGAAGGATGGGCTCCTTTCAGAAGGTTCCCACGGCTCCTGCTCTTCTCAGTCAGCATTGATGCCTTGCTGCTCTCGGCCTCTTTCTCCCGGGGTCCTGATCTTTCCTGCCCTTCTGCTGGAGGCTATAGGGCAGGGGGCCCCCCAAACCTGGCAACTTTAAGACTTGTGGACTCCCAGAATTCTCCAGCCAGCTATGCTTAAGTCTTAAAGTTGCCAGGTTTGGGGGGGGGGCCTGCCCTATAGCCTCCAGCAGAAGGGCAGGAAAGATCAGGACCCCGGGAGAAAGAGGCCGAGAGCAGCAGGGCATCAATGCTGACTGAGAAGAGCAGGAGCCGTGGGAACCTTCTGAAAGGAGCCCATCCTTCGACTCTTGAAGGGGTGAAGGAGTCACCTGGCTGCCCTGGCCCAAGGCAAGAGCTCCACTGCCGAACCCTGTGGCAGGAAAGGATCCATGGGCTGGGAATGATGGGAATTGTGTTCCACCCCATCAGGAGAGACTATTCTGTCTCCATCTGAGAGCACCAAGGGACAAAATGTGGCCTTCGGGATATTAGCCAGCAACTCTCACGAGTTCCACAGCTTGTCAGGCTAGCTAGGAGTTGGGCGCATGGGCGCATGGGAAGGGCTATGCTTGCACACGGCTGCCGGGAAACCAGAAAACGAAAGTGGCTTCCACACAAACAAAAAACCATCTACTTTGGGCCACTGGCTTTCCTCTCCATTGTAGGGTTGAATCCGGTCATAAGAGAGGAGGCCTGTTTTCTTCATTTGCTGACCATTCCCAAATCTCCCTCCCTCGCTTTTCTGCCCCCCCTCCCGGCCTGGCCTGACGCCTGGAGCTTTTCCTGGCTGTCCTAGGAGGGAAGGGAAGGGAGCTGGGCAGGGGGGCTCCTTCCTTCAGTGCTTGCCTCCCCAGCCTCACGAGCCAGCCCGGATCAGGCTCCCTAACCTTTCTTCCCATTCACACGACCCTCTTCCTGACAACAGGCCAGCATTTGAAACCACCACCTTGCTTCAGAACAAGCCGGTTTCCTTCCCTGCGCCCGTCTGTGGGCCAACTCACTTGATGGAGCTCCTCATAGGAGATGCAGAAGAGGTCCAGCTCTTCTTGGCAGCCGAGCCAGCCCTTCACGTGCTCAAACCAGGATCCGTAGTGCACTGTTCCGAAGCAGGGAGAAGACCAGGATCAGGGGGAAAGAAAGATGCCGCTTGGCCTCCTGGCAACTGACGAGGAGCCACATCCTTTGCTGGCATTTCAGCCTGCTGGCTCCCCTTCAGCGGCGCTCATGATTCACCCGAAGAGACTCAAGTCACAAAATGTTCCAAAACAGCCTCTGCTTCGAGTCCGTCTACCTCCCAGCCTGATGCCGAGAGCAGGCAGGGCTTGATGGACTTTCTGGGTGGGAGAAGGACTGGCAGAGCCCTGGCAAAGCAGCCCCTCCCTGACAACCCCCCCCAGCTCCCCCCAGGTGTGTTTTGGTATCTGCCCTGCTACGAAAGAAGCCCCCAGATGGAGGAATCGCCCCTCTCCCCCCCTGGAAAATTGCCAGCTCCGCCACGGAGTCAGTGGTGAAATTCAATTTTTCCCCACTACCGGTTCTGTGGGCGTGGCTTGGTGGGCGTGGCAGGGGGAGGATACTGCAAAATCTCCATTCCCTCCCCACTCCTGGGGCCAGCCAGAGGTGGCATTTGTGTGTCTTCTGGACTATTCAAAATTGCCGCTGCCGGTTCTCCAGAACCTGTCAGAACCAGCTTTAAAAACCCCTCCACAGTGTGCTTTACAGAGCCGCTCCTGGTGCCCCCCTCTGGCTCTTCAGGATGGTCACGAAAGAGACCCCTTCTCCGGGTCTTGGGCAGCCGTTAAACCGTGCTGGAATGAAGGCTGCAATGATGGGCTGGAAGGGAAGATGAGTCCGGCAGCCCTTGAAGCGCCTTCTAGGAACTGGCAGATCCTCCACCACCCTCAAGGCTGGGATCCGACACAGGAATCCCTCAGAAAAAAATATCCTTCGCCTCCTGGGAAGTCTCGGGGTACATCCAAGAGCAGAAATGTTTTCCTCCAGCCCCAGATACGCCTGACAACACTTACTTTGTCAATGCTGAAGGATGGGAAAGGGACCAAGTTTTTAAAAGGAAACCCAACCCGTTAAGGATGAAAGCAGCCGGGTCGAAGAGCAGCATATTCACCATCCCCAGCCTGCCTGAAAACACCCGTCGCCCACCCAATGCCCTCTGAAGAATGCCTGGAACCGCAATCCCCAGAATTCCCAGCCAGCACAAGCAGAACTATCCTCCACCACATCTGGAGACCATCAGACTGGGAGAGGCTCCCACCAGTCTCCGGAAACCTCTGCCTCCAGCCACGGAACCACAGCTTCTGGGACTAATTGGAAACAGTTGCTACAATGCAGCCAGGGCGCTTTAAGCCTCCGGGGGTCTCCGGACGTGGCAACTCCAAGACTTGCAGACTTCGACTCCCAGCTGCCCTGGCTGAGGAATGCTGGGAGTTGAAGTCCACACGTCTTAGAGTTGCCAAGTTCAGAGACCCCGGCTTAAAACTAAAACACTGCCCACACCTTGTTAAAATGAATGCGCAACCCCAACAGCCCCCCCACAGCTGCAGTTGCAATACAAAATGCAGAATGAAAGCAGACCGCAAGAGCCGTAAAGACAGTGGGAGGCCCACAAAGGCAGTGAAATTGGAGACCGGTGGCCCTTAAATAACCTCCGTGTGGCTCAAAGGGGCAGATCCTCCTTTCCACTTACCGGTGCCAGCCATGAAATCGTGAAGGAAGCCTTCAAAGGAAGCTGGGTCAGGGAAAAACTTGGCCATTCTCTGGAAATGGTAGTAGGACACAACAACATCTTTTGGGTTCCTGACCACATAGATCACCTGCAGCAGGCAAAGAATGGACAGGTTGGTCCCCCCCAAAGGACTTCCTGTTTTGACCACCTGCCATCCCAACTTTGGGTCTCCTCTGGCTGCTGTTTCCTCGACTACCTTCACAAGAGACACCACGGCTGCCCTCATGCCATGCTAAGCTGACGATCCCAATTACGTCCCCCTGAAAGCCCCCTGGGGAGGCCCAGGGTAGCCCCACCCGAAGGCTTTGCCATCATCATTCTTGAAAGGAGCCCACGGGGTTTCCCCCGAGACGCACCTTGGGCTTAGCTTTCTTCAGGGCAGGTGCCAACACTGACTGGGGCAGGTGGGTGGTGAGGAGCCGAGGACACCCAATGTGCTGAAGCTGCTCTTGGAAATAGGTGTGCTCCACCCAGGGAGCCCGGGCCCAGTTGGGAAGAGTCTTTATGGGTTGGAGGTTGCCGTTGCTGTAGATCAAGGAGAGGATTTCTTGCATCCACGTGGTGCCTGGAGGGCAGGAGAGAAGACTGGCTGGTCATGTCGACCTGTGGAACTGCAGGATTTTTGACTGCAAGGACTCCAGAGGTTTCCCTCCCCGGGGAAAGACCCCTTGTGCAGAAAAGAAAGTGGTGGGGCATCTCCATCCATCCATTCAGAAGACCATTCAGAGAAGAGCAGTAGAAATGATGACTGGGCATCTCGACCCTGCTGGCCTGTCAGCTGGGCAGCCTAAAAGGAGCAAAGGTGCACCCCCACATTTCCCCAAGCCCACTCTGCCATTAGCAATGGGGGTGCTCTTTCCCCCGGCAGCTGACGCCAGTGGGAGAAGAAAGAACGCCGAGGGCTCTACCACCTTTCAGCTACCTGCAGTATCTACCTTACGGATAGTTCATTAAACATAAACAATGGACAGACAGGCAGGCAGATTAGAGATCAGCTCTTGGGCAGAACCAGTTGTGCCAGTGTATTCATCCAACTGGAAGAAAGAACATTTATGCAACTACGAGAAAGACACCCCCCCACGCAAAGGCAAACATTCTCTCCTTCCCTCCTCCGCAGTTACTGAGACAAGGTAGACGAGGGTGCTCGGTCCAGCTTGGCTGAAGGGCCAGAGGGCCTCTAGTGGCCCCGGGAGTCCAGGGGACGAGGAAAGAGGGACGACTCCCTTTTCTCTTTGCCCACTTCCTCTTTCTCCACAAGGCCCCAGAGGCCTCCAGCCAGAGGCCCAGCCTGTCTCCAACTGGGGCAGGGTGGGATTCAGGGATCCCGTGGTAAAGACTACCTAAAGGAGCAGAGGGGACCTCTTGGAGTCTCTGGGGTGGGGGTGGGGGTGAGGAGGTAGATCTGGTTGATGAATCTTGGTCTTGCTGTGAGGAGGAGGCTGAAACTGGGCAGTAGTTGAGGGGGTCAGTCAATGATTAACTCTGCCACTGCCTCTGAATATTTCAAAGACCATCGTTTCCCTCTGAGTCAAGAGAGAACACTTATTGTTTTAGACTTGGCCAGATAAGACAGTCCTACCATCCTCTCTTTCTTCCCCTTTATCTATCAAAAGGGTTGGTGGATTTCCACACTCCCACAGCCACAAAATTCTTGTTAAGGGTTACTTAAGAAAATGCTACGTTGCAAGACTGGTGCGGTGCCACAAAAAGGAGAAGGTTGTGAAACGGAGGAAAGACCGGTGAAGATGACAGAGCTATCAAAGATGGCAAAATTCACCGGCTTGATTAGAGAAAGATGGCTGATCCGTAACTACAAACCTCGATGGACCTTTTGCTGACAAGACAGACCACAGTCAGAAAGACCCGGAAATTGCTTCTCTGACAACTTTCTTTTCCTTTTCTGTTTTTTTTTTTTTCTATTTTCTTTCTTCCCTATTTATTATTTTTCTTCATTTTCTTCTCTGGTTATTACTTTGCTTGAAAAATTCTAATAAAGCTGATGAGAGAAATGGCACTGGAACTAGATTGCCCTGGTTCAAAGGTGCCCCTGGCTCAGCTTTCCATTCTTTTGAGGGAAGTTTGCGTTTCCTCTCAGGGCATCAAATAAGCCAGTGTTTTTCAACCTTGGCAACTTGAAGATGTCTGGACTTCAACTCCCAGAATTCCCCAGCCAGCATTCGCTGGCTGGGGAATTCTGGGAGTTGAAGTCCAGACATCTTCAAGTTGCCAAGGTTGAAAAACACTGAAATAAGCAACAAGAAAGACAGGAGCTTCTGCAGAGAGGGGGAGAGGGGGGGAAGCAGCTTTTTTATGAATGATATATTCCATGCCCCCCCCCCGCAAGGGAAAAAGGCCCTCCAGGCCCACCGAGGGAGGGAGGAATAGGAGCCCACCTGGAGAGGCCTGGAGCGGAAGGAACTGTCCCCTCTGAGCCATCCCAGACGGCTTCAAAAGGCTTCCAATTTCCCTTTTGGACTTTGAGTAAACAGACTCAGCTACTTAACCTCACAGCCGTATTTGGTTTTGCCTGGCAAACAAAGAGCCTCCTCGGTCCTCCTCTCCTAGCAGGGGCCCACCACCCGCTTTACCTGACTTGGGGTAAGTGACGAGGAGGACGTCCGTGTCCTGGAACTCAAAGTGGCTGGCGAAGTGGAGGGAGCTCTCGGTGTGGAGGTGTCCCGGCAGGCGTATGTTGGCAAAGACCTCGGTTACATCCAGCCGAGCCATGGCGCTGGCAGCACCCGGGAGGCCTCTCTGCTCTCCTGCAGCCAAAGGACCTCCCCTCCTCCGCCTGCTCAGCCCAGCGGTGGGAGGTATCCTCCCAAAAACGAGCTTTTTCTAACCAGAACTCCTGAAGGCAGAACTGTTGTCAGCAGGTGGATTCAGAAGGACGGCTTCCTTTATCTCTGGAAACGGCTCAGGTTCTTCCCTACTACTGGAAATAAAGCCAAGACAAATTAATCAATAATTTCATAACTCTGGTTGAGTTTTTCCAACTGTTCTGGATCTTTCAGCCAAACTGGATGGTGTGCAATACGCTGTCCTTCTGTTTCCACGGCTAATTGTTTTATTTCAAATCCTTTTTTTATAAAAAATAAATAAAAATCCAAATGGCAGGACAAAGAACAGACTATTCATGGAGATGCCAGCAATTTGACAAAGCAGCTACGCACATCTGGTCCGTTTTTGTGAATATGAATGCAAGTAGCAAATCTTAACCTTAATTTTAAAAATAAATCATTTGGGGGTTTGCACACAGCACTGTTGGCTTATGAGCAGAGAAACTGGGCCAGAAAGGGAAAAAAAGGTTGCACATTATAGTCATAATTGTACTTGGGGGGGGTGGGGGGAGCACAAAACAAGGGTATAACATGTGGGGAAAAGCTTCCTGTGGGTTGCTGGCGGTTTTTCTGAGCTACTTTGTTATTGTTGCAAGAATGGAAAAACCTGATCGGTTTGTTATAATAGTTGACCTGCTTAAGAGGTTATTAGGAGCATATAAAGCATGCGAACAATTGGACCTGTCTGACTACATGCAAGGTAACTTAAGAAGCACAACGGATTAGGAGAATGTGAGATCCGTGTCTTTTCCTGTCTGGTGGTGAAGTCTGTCCTTCAGGAACTCTGCACACTCCCAGATGCCAACGTTGTGTCTTCTTAATTCTCTCCAGATTAGCCCTCACAGTCTGCCTGGAGAAGGACACCAAGGCTCAGGTTTATGCAGTCATAAATTCAACTTCAGCGGTTGGTGTCCCAGCCCCCCCCCCCCCGATTTTTCTCCCGGCTTTCCCAGCTGCACAAATAAAAGGGGGGGGGCAGGGAAAAAGGTCCCAAGTTAAGTCTAGATTCCCTTTTAAGGTAAGTTCATCTTATGCGGTTCTTACAAAGCACATCATCCCCTCTTAGGGTGAGTTTTTGCATGGAAATCAATTTAAAAGCAAACAAAGTCATAAATCATAGATAAATGGACACATTGCCTCACCCTCCTAAAATTTAACAGGAGCTTAGAAAGCCCTTACAATTAACTTGATCCCGGTTTATCTCTTTCCTAAGCCTCTTGTCTCTTGGTTTCTAATTATCTTGCTCTAACAGGCAGGTTGAATCAGGGAGCCATCGCGGCTGCCTCCACGCCCCCACATTCCATCTACACATGGATCCTCCTCATCTCCTTCCCATGGAGGCTACCACCGTGTGGCTCACCTCATCAGAACTCCACCCTACGAGGCCTCTTGTTACCCTCGCTCCCCTCCCAATTAGCTGCGCTGAGCTGCTGAATCAAACCTGGGGAAGAGCAGGGCTGAAGTACGGCAAAGTGGGCTGCCTCTTATGCCCACCGCTGCAAGCTCATCTGCCAAAGAGCATGGAGGGGGGGGGAATCACCCTTCAAGGCTTTCAAAGCCAACGCAGCTCAAGCTCGTCAACCCCCTGGGTTTCAACAGCTGCAAAATCTCCACGTGTGACTGGCACGACCAAGTGGAGCTCCGTAGACCTGGTGACGCCATGAACCACGGGCAATCCTGAACCCAGGGACCCCCCCCCCCATTTCCCCCTGACTGAGCGCAAGGTTGGATAACAACAGAACTGGATCTAGAGAGAGCCAGTCTCTGCGCAAGGCTGATTTTCGCCCTGGGATCTGCTGCTCCTTTGCTTAGATGAAAGGAAAGGGGAAAGAAGTGAGGACTGGTTTGTTTCCACCATAAATAAACCCCTGCCGTCTGCTGTTCATGCTTAGCCTGAAAAGAAAGAGGGGGCTCCGAAGGGAGAACCACCTGGCCCTCTTTGTCCCCACCCAGATGCTGCCTCGTTCCAATGTCCCCAGTGGATCCCTTCCGAGGGAGGAGACCTCGGGGACTTGGAGCTCCTCAGAACTGAGCCAGGAGGAGAAAGAGAGTTCGGGGCCAAAAGGTTCCTGGGCCAGGAGGGTCTTTCCCCTGGGCTCAAAGGGGCCTGGGGTCCACCAAAGGAAGTGGAAGGGAATTGCGACTGCCCAGGTTCTCCGCGCTTGTCCCTCCCAGGGGGGTCCTCCTTGGGTCTTCCTCACTCAGCTCAAAGGGCAGGAGGAGCTCAGCTGCCTGAAGCCTTCTCTGGCTCCTCCCAAGCCACACTCACTCTCAGGAGCCGCCACATGATGGGTGGATCCCACTCAGGGCACTCCCTGTGTCCTTACCACTCCACTTGTCTCCAAGGATCCCCGGGAGGAAACGCTGGAGGAGATCTCTGCTGCTGGTCCAGATCCCCTTCGCCCCAGGATGCTGCTGGTGTCTTTCCTCGTGCTGGCTTGTTTCTCCGTCTGCTTGGCAGATGTCCATCATCTGGAGGCAATCAAAATAATGAATAACACACCTGTGGTGGACGGGTAAGAGCAGAGCCTTCCTTTTGCTGCCGTGGGTTGGTGGAGGAAGAGCCCCTTCTTGGGAGATGCAAGGATCACCCTTTTCCCTCCAGGGCCTCCTGCTGGCACTCAGCTGGCGCCCAGCTTTCCACTGGGCTGGCTGGTTGGCACAATGCCACACAGCTTCCAACGGGGCTGGCACAATCCACATCCTTGAGGCGCTCTTAAAATGTTCTGTGCGACATGGCTGGGCTGCTTTCCAGGGAACAAAATCCGAAGGGCCAAACTAGGAAGTTTCCCATCAAGGCTTCCTGAGAAAAAAACACCCTTTTGGGAGTGGCTCAAGGGGGAGAAAGGGGTGGACGAGCCCTTGAAAAAGGCCGGGGATGAAGAATTGCACAAGAGTCTCCGCAAAATAGGGAACAAACATTAAACTGTCAAATGTCGTTCAACAGAAATAGAACCATGGGTTTGGGAGAAAAAACCCCGTGGGGTATGAACTGAGGGCTGCTGAGCTAGAGGTGGCCAGCGGGGAAGGAGAAGCCGAGATTTTCCCTTGGGCAAGTGGGCGGCCGTGAAGGGTGCTTTGGCCAGGTTCAGGTGCAGCAGAAGCAGAGAGGAGAGTCCCGCTGGCAAAGTGTGACCTTCCTGGATTGCGCCATCTTGGGAAGGATTGGTGGAGGAGGAGGTGCCAGGAGAGGCAGCCAAATAAGCTGAGGGCAGCCCCACAGGAAGGTTTCTACGCTAGGGGCTATTTGGGGCAAGGAAAAGGGAGTGGTGTAAGGGTGTGTTCCATTAAGCAAATGGGGGAATGAAGGCGTGAGAAGGAATCCGAGCAATGCAGGGGAAGATGCTGCAGCCCCCCCCACCCTTCCATGCTGGCCTTGATCGAGGAGCCCTTTGCTCAGTGAATAATCAACCACCAGGTGATTGCCCCGAGGGTTAGCCAAACATGAATCCTCTCCCTGGAGGGTTCTGGAATTGAGGTGGAAGCACTTGGTCAGGCGGCCTTGGAGGATGGGAAGTCCAGAGGTGAAGAGGCTCTTACAACGCCCCCCCCCTCTCGCCTCTCTCTTGAAGACCAGCATGACTTCCAGTAGAACGTAGAAGAGGGTCCATCTCTGGGCACCAGGAAGCCCAACAGCTCTTCTGCCTCCTTGCCCCGGATTCCTTCTGAATGTGGAAACAGCCGGGGGGGGGGGGGGGGGGGTGGGGGAGGCCCATTTGAGGCAACCTTGGGAACTCCAGGCGGATTCCATCCATTTGTGTTAACAAATACAGCTGCGTAGCGGCTGGCAGTTCTGGGAATTAGGCAGGAAGATCAGTTTCAATTCAATACACAATAACATTCAAGATCAAAGCAACTTTTAAATAATAATAGACCTGGTCCTCCCTCCCTCCCTCCCTCCTTCTCTCTCTCTCTCTCTCTCTCTTTCTTAAGAGAACTTGTTTTGAATGCTATTTGTTTTGAATTATAGCTGAACTTATTTCCTTCAGATATTGGAAAAAGAGAGAGTTTGTGGTTTGGTTGCTCTGCCATTTCCAGTTAAATGCAACTAAATAGCTGAACTTCTTAGTTAGAATGAAAGCCATTCACAGACAAAGCAGCCTTTCATGCCCTGTTAAGTACCCTTGTCAGAAGGGCAGGATCTTCTGCCAACTTCACCAGGCTGTTGGCTGTTAGTTATTAATCCTTAGAGTAAGTGTAACCATGGATAAAGCTGGAGGTGGTGGACACTTAAATCACCTTCCCGCAGCCTTTTAGGTTTTAACTTCTTTTATTCCTTTTTGAATCTGGCTCCTTTATTGGTTTATTGTATTTTTATACAGTTTTTAAGCATTTGTTTTTTAATTCTACCCCATCCAGAGTCACAAGTGAGATTTTGACAAATAAATAATAAACGTATGGATTTTTGTTGTTGTTCTATGAATTGCTTTCTCTGATCAAAGCAAGCCAGAGTCTTAAGTGTTACCAGCAAGTTCAGCCCATCCTTTAATTATCTGATGTAAGGAAGACTGTTACCATCTCAACCTTTGATCTTCAAGGACAGTTGCCTTATCAGTCAATCTGCTTCTATCAGCCTCTTGTATCATAACCCAGCATCTACCCAAGATGATAAAACGTTATCTTTCACTTTTATAGTCACAATGATCTGCCCTGGCAGTTGCTGACAAAATTCAACAACCAGCTGTCCTTGAAGGAAGCCAATTTGCAGGATCTGCAAGACACTCATACCAATATTCGGAAGCTGCGTCTCGGGCATGTAGGAGCCCAGGTAAGAGATGAACAAATGACACTTGCAAGTCTCCCGTACAATAAAATGGGAGAGATTAACCTTCCTACTGAAACATCCGATCATTCAGATCTTTGCAAATTGCTAAACCTTCTAATTTGCTTATTTTCAGCCTGGCTTATTTGTTTAGCCTTTTGCCTGCGTTTCAGATTTGTGTGTGTTTTAAGATACCTTCAGTGGGTCCAACCTTTGCTGCCTGCCCGCTTCCTTCCTGTGGAAAGCAGAGATCTGTCCTCTCCACTTGCACCTTAGATCATCTGCTGATGTAGATGCGGCCTCCTGATAAAGCTCCTCACACAGGAAGTTTTAAGACATCTTTGCCTTCCTTCTGCAGTTCTGGGCAGCCTATGTGCCCTGCGACACCCAAGACAAAGACGCAGTAAAGCGAACTCTGGAGCAAATCGATGTCATTCACCGGATGTGCCACCGATACCCAGATACCTTCATGTGTGTTACTAGCAGTGCAGGTAAGCGCAGAGATGGTGCCAGTGGCCGTTGCTTCCTGGCTGGCCAAGGAGGGGCCCAACCACCTGCCTCTTAAGCCAGAGGGGCCCCAGGTGAGTAGTGGGGCTGCTCCAGATGACGGAATCCAAGCACTCCGGCTCAACCTCAGGCCTATGGAGAGCAGCAAGTGGCCTTTCATTATAAGCTGCTTCCAGGGAAAAAATCAGGACGACTTCTCTGGCCATCAGCAACTGCTCAGGAATCAGGGCCAAAACCCAATGCTGGTTTTAGCCTTGTCATCTCTTCAACCCAGAATCCTCTGTTGTGGCAGGAGAAACTGTCTGGAGCTGGGTTTGCATGTAATGCATGCAATCGTTTTTCAAAACTGCGATTGACTAAACCACAAAATTTGACCTGTAACCCATGGATTACAAAGCATGAAGTCTTGTGTGTCATCACAGAATGACGAGCCGAGGTGGCGCAGTGGTTAAATGCAGCACTGCAGGCTACTTCAGCTGACTGCAGTTCTGCAGTTCGGCTGTTCAAATCCCACCAGGCTCAAGGTTGACTCAGCCTTCCATCCTTCCGAGGTGGGTGAAATGAGGACCCAGATTGTTGTTGGGGGCGATATGCTGACTCTGTAAACCGCTTAGAGAGGGCTGAAAGCCCTATGAAGCGGTGTATAAGTCTAACTATTGCTAACTATTGACAACATCCACTAGTTTGATCCTGGCTTGCCGCACTGAGGATCTCAGATGACTGCAGTTGAGCAAGCCACAGCTTAGTTGATGTGTGAAAGAGGCCAGCATGCTAAGAGTGTTGAAACAAACCCTTGGCTGGTTTAGTCCAACCCATGAACTCGTCTCTGCCAGAATTCTCCCTTGTCCCATGTGCAGAAGAGCATGATGGGTCAGGCGGGGGAAGGGGAAGTTAGCCTTAACTGTGAAAATTAAGGGTAGGAACCATCTCATATTCCCAGCTGGCCACCCTGAACAATGCGCACGTGCTGGAAGCTGGATGGGAATCCTTCTCTTGCAGGTATCTATGAGGCTTTTCACTCTGGCCACGTGGGCAGCCTAATCGGCGTGGAGGGGGGGCATTCCATTGACAGCAGCTTGGCCGTCCTGCGCACCTTCTACCTGCTGGGCGTGCGCTACATGACCCTCACCCACAGTTGCAACACTCCCTGGTAAGCGGAGAGGCCTGAAGCCTGCTTTCAAATAAGGGCAGAGCCCTGGGGGGCCCTTGAGCAGGGCAGAGTGACAGCACATGGCTGTTGGGGAGCCACGCAAGCATTCGTGTAGAGAAGGGCCGAAGGGGGCCGTGGGGCAACTGATTCCAATAGAAGAGTTCCATTGAGGGGGGGAGGAGCTTCAGGGAAGGAGGGTGTGGAGGAGGAAGTGCCAGCATCCTATGCCCCTTCATTTGGGCTCTACTTCCCTTGGCAGGGCTGACAACTGGCTGGTAGATACAGAGAAGGAAAGCCCTGTCCACAATGGCTTGACGGAATTTGGGAAGGTCAGTGAAGGCTCTGTGGAGGGCGTGGAATGGGGGGAGGGGGCTGTGTGGGGCTACCCAAGCAGCGCATCTCATCTGCCAAAGGGAGACAAAGCCCGAAGCAGAGCGGGTTAGGAAGGGCTCCCATTGAAACAGGGGCTGCAAAAGTAGCCAACACGAAGGAGCAAAGCCTGCAGAATAGGAAGGACGGGCCTCACGGGGGGCAACTGAGGTGAGATGGGGGCTTGTGCCCGAGAGTTTGGGGCAGGCTTTTCCTCTTGAACCCAGAGCCTCCCGAGTGCATCTTCTCAGGCCTTCGCAAGGCCCAGGTGGGACCAGAAGCTCTCCTTCCTCTCCATCTTTGCTCCACAGCGTGTGGTCCTGGAGATGAATCGGCTGGGCATGATGGTGGATTTGTCCCATGTCTCTGTGGAGACGATGAAGGCTGCCCTAAAGGTCTCCAAGGCCCCCGTGATATTCAGCCACTCCTCCGCCTACGCCATTTGCCAAAACAGGCGGAATGTACCGGACGATGTGCTCCGCCAAGTGGTGAGCAGAGCTGGGCTCGGGTGGGGCCGAACGGCACATGCTTTCAATAGCGCCAAAGCAGGTCAGGCGGGAAGCCTTTGCTCGGAGTTCTTCCTTGGCTCCCGGGGTGCTCTTCAAAGGGACTGGCCCACCACCTCTCAGGCGGACACGGGGCTGGGCGCAGCGGGGTCAGGAGGTGGCGGAGGAGTTGAGGCTCCTGCTGTTTCTGGGCATCAGCTTCTGGGCGGCCCCTTTGATGATGCCCCCTCCTCTCCTCGCAGAACGAGACACGCAGCCTTGTAATGGTCAACTTCTACAACGACTACGTCTCCTGCAGCAGCCATGCCACTCTGGCCCAGGTTGCAGGTAAAGCCAGCAGAGCGGGAACGACACATCAGGAGAGGCGGGAGGGGGAACTGAGGCAGACGGAAAGCGGTCAACCTCTCATCTTTTCTCCCCCGCAGACCACATGGACTACATAAAGCGCGTTGCTGGAGCAAAATCCGTTGGCATTGGAGGAGACTATGATGGGGTGCCCAGGTACCAGCAGGAGGAGGAGGAGGAGGATCAACGTGAAAGAAGCCCAGCCTGCAGTGGGGCTTCCAGCCCTCAAGGCTGGAGTGGCATCATTGCTGGAAGATTGTAGGCAGGTTGTAGGCTCTGCCAAGAACGGCACTCGCCCTTTAGTGGGGGGCTGCAGGAGCCCTGTCCCTACGGCATGTATGGGTCCTGACCTTGAATGAGCAGGCACCCCGAGGGAGACGGCGCTCCTGGCCCTTAGCCTTCTTTCCCTCTGACCAAGACACGGCCGATTAGAGAGCAGGTGGGTGCAGATGGGCTCCTGGAGGTGCAGCACCAGAGAGATCAGCCCTGGCATGAGAAGGGGGAGGGAGGGGGCGAGGGGCATGGAACCCTTCCCTTAATTTCCACCGGTGCTTCTTTGGCTTACAGAGTCCCTCAAGGCTTAGAGGATGTCTCCAAATACCCAGACTTAATTGCTGAACTGCTGAGGAGGGGATGGACGGAAGAGGAGGTGGAGGATGCCCTGGCCAACAATCTTTTGCGAGTCCTGCGGGAAGTAGAGTGGGTAAGACCTCTGAGACCTGAAGAAGAGCTGGAGGCGGGTAATAACAGACTTGGGCATGGAAGAACCTCAGCTCTATAAACCGGCAATGTCCAAGCCCAAAGCTTCTCCTCTCCTTTTCACCTTGTGCTCATTTCCCAGTTCTATTTGAACTGCTTCTCTTTGGACAACCTCTTCCCAGCCAGGAGAACCATTCTGACTCACAAAATCTAGATGGAAGTGTGCTTTTAGTGGTCAAGGTGTTAGATCAGGACCACAAAGATCTAGAACTGTGTTTCTCAACCTTGGCCACTTGAAGATGTCCGGACTTCAACTCCCAGAATTCCCCATCCCATGGTCCAATCTCCCACTGCCACGCTGGCAGCTTCCACCCATCCAGTTCCAGTCAGGTGCAGATGGTGCAGAGACAAAGGATGACCTTGGCTTTCTAGAAAGAATGTTGTTATGGCTGCATAGCATCTAATTCAGTGTTTCTCAACCTTGGCNCATCCTTCCGAGGTGGGTGAAATGAGGAACCAGACTGTGGGGGCGATATGCTGACTCTGTAAACCGCTTAGAGAGGGCTGAAAGCCCTAGGAAGCAGTATATAAGTCTAACTGCTATTGCTATAGCCTTTAGTAATATCAATTGCCTTTTCTCCTCCTTTACTTGAACTAAAATATCTGTCTACCAAGTGCTCTGGCAAGAAAGTCAGTTTGATGTAGTGGTTAATGTGACTGACCCAGAAGCCAGGAGAGTTCTAGTCCAGCCTTAGGCATGAAAGACAGCTGGGTGACTTTGGGCCAGTCCCTCTGTCTCGGTCCAACTCACCTCACAGGGTTGTTGTTATGGGAAAAATAGGAGAAATGTGGCCATTTCTACCCCGTGTCAATCTGGGGGTAGTTCTTGCTCACTCCCAAACCCCACCTTGCCGGCACTAACTGAACATTCAATTGTGGCAACCTTATGAAGACTGGGTTGCATTCGTCTGGATTGTTAACTGTTGGGGTTCAGAGAGAAACTTAATCAGGATGTCCAAAACCCGAAACCATTTCTGATGAGGAAAGTAACTGAAAAGCATTTCCTAGCCGGGAAAAATTTGCTATAATCGTGACAAGTTCACACACTTGATCATATTGAAAGTCCGCTGCTCGTAATGATATTTTGGAAGTGGAAATCCTTTGGCGTGCGCTTGTTTTAAGATCTCCATATTTTTCTTGCAGTCTTCAGCCATCTTCTCAAATCTGGAGAGGGGAAGACCGAAACAAACATCTGGTTTATATCTGATTCATGAAATTTAACCAGACACCTTTCACACACATGCTCCGCTGGATGGCATGTTAGCAGCCAGTTTGCACAATGAATTGCACTGTGTTAAGTTTGCAGACTATGTTACCATTATCCTTTTGTAAGTTGTCCAGAGCCTCTTCCACAGTGAAATGGGCAGCATATAAATTTACTTATTAAATAAATAAAATATTACAACATGCGACGTGACCATTGAAGCAAAGCAGTCATCTAAAACTGTGGATGGTTGAGCTATAAAAGCAGGAATACACTGAACATGTCATAGCATTAGATAGGTGTTCTGACCCCCCCCTTCTCCATCCAGGAACAAAAGCCAAAACAGACGTACAAAAGAATGTTTTAATCAGTCCAAGCTCTTGTTGGCTGCAAGCCCAAAATAAACCAATAGATAATTACTCTAGCAACAATTAAACAAGCTTCTCACAGCAAACCCCTTATCCAGTTGGTTTCTCTGAATCATCTACACGAACCAGGGCGTGGCACAAACAGTTCCCTTTATACTCAGGAGAGGATCCCAATGAGCAACATCTGCTTGCAATCATCTCCAGTAAGTACTCAGTTGTTCCTTCCGTCGAGTAATCCTTCGACGGGGTG